CTTTGTTTAGCTTAGCTTGTTCTAAGTAGGTGCTTTAGACCACTGAGCCATCTCTCCAGCCCCTCTTACCTTTTTTTGGAGACAGGGTCTCATTAGGTAGTTCAGGCTGTCCTTGAAATCACTGTGTAGCCTAGATTGGCCTTGATCTCCCAGTGATCCTCCTGCCTCAACTGTCAAGTGCTGGGATGGTAAGGCCTGACTGTACTTGTGGGTTAGGTGGCTTGGTATCCAAGTGTTCCTAGTGATAGGAATTAAATTCAGTACTCCACTTGATGTTCTCTGATTGTTAGTGAGAGAACTTCACTAAAGTCAAAATTACTACTTTTTTCAATTTGTACTATCTTCATGAACTTTGTTTCCAAAGGCACAGGATGTGACAGCCTTGTAGAGGGCTGTCCACCAGCTTTTCCTAGACTTGTTGCACATCCTGTGGGTTGCCCTGCATCCCTGAGATTCGGACTGAGCTTCTGCCCGTCCTCAGGCTCACACTGAGCCTGTGTCTGGCTGCCCAGGCCCTGGCAGGATCGAGGCCTGCCTGGTGTTGGTGTGTAAGGAGTAGGTTGCTCACCTGGCCCACTCCAGGGCAAGGGCCTGGGCACCCCAGGACTGAAAAAAAAAATAGAAGGGTGGACAGTTGTCTACATGGGGTAACTCAGTTCCTGTCTTGCCTGGATAATGAAACTTGGGTTAGGTAACCTTTGAGATTTCCTTTTAGTCATAGGATTTTGGGTTATTGAAGTAAGCAGTAAACGAGGTTTCGCTTACATGTCAGTTGCTCAGTGTTCAGCAGTACTGTTGCTCACCTGCTTTACACAGTGGGGGTGAGTTTTGGCTCAGCTAGAATTTCAGCTTTCTGCTCTTTTCCAGCAGCTTCTCTCTCATGGGCAGGCCTCCTGCCCTTCTCTCTGCCTCTCACTTGTTCTTGTAGGCTCTTTCTTTCTTTTCTATCTGTATCCCCACATTGCCTCATGATAGTATCCCCAAATTATAATATGATGCATTTTTAAGATGATGATGCTAATTTCCACTTTGTCAGCTTTTCTTTTCTTTTTTTAAAACATTTATTTATTTATTTATTTATTTATTGTGTGTATCCAGCTCAGCCCACCAGGGGGCAGGGCTGGCTGGCATGTGGTGCTGGGGGATCGAACCACAGTCCCTGTGCTTTCCCAAGCTTGTTCCAAGTAGGTGCTTTAGACCACTAAGCCATCTCACCAGCCCCTTGTCAGCTTTTCTAAGATTAATATTTTTAGAACACTGAGTTCCGTTTTTTTTTTTTTTTTGAGACAGGGTCATGCTGTGTAGTCCAGACTGGCCTTGATTCACTGTATAGCTCAGGCTGGCCTTAAACTCATTGTAGTTCTCGTGCCTCAGCCCCCTGAGTACTGAGCTTACAGGTGTGTGCCACCATGGCTGGCTCATTGTAGACTGGATTTGCACATGGTACTGTGCAGTTGCAGATCAGCAGTCTCAGTAGTTTTGCCCCTGAGATGTGAAAG